ATAATTTTAATCGGCATGAATGATTTTTACAATACCAAGGGCAATAACTGACGATGATTGCAGATAGTGTCACTTATTTCAGAAAAGCTGTTATAAAACATCTTCAATAGTAAATGATTAATGACACGGCCAAAAGATTTGTATTGATTTATTTTTGGCTTTAATCCCTAAGGCTACTATGAATTTATAAATATAATATTGTTCATTGTTAATTTATGTCTGTTCATAATCAGGATTTCTGTGAGTCTTAAAAGGTCTTCTACAAATTAAGGCCTAAAAAAATCAAGGCATAAAGTCATGGCTTTAAATGTTGCAAAAAATCAACATGTTCCTCAGTACTTTTGACATCTTTTCCAATACAGTTTTATTGGAGATGCTTAATGATGAATTGAAAAATTGAGCTGCTTTAAAACAAGAACAAATATCTGTCATTCTGGGAGTGAAAACCTGTTTTGCCTTTGATTTAAGCTGCTTTTCAGAGACCATTAGCAGATACTGGTTTTGTTTTAATCCTAAACTCACTTCATTTTGATTAGTTTTTAACAGAAAACATGATGACTTTTCGATTGAGTTCTCTTCTGTTGATTTCTGGAAAACAAGACAGAAATACTGATGAAGAGTTGTTCCAATATTCTAGTGTTTTCAAACCTTACGCTATTGTTTGTAAAATGAATTCAAGTAATGCTGATTGGTTGGAATTATTTCAAACTCTGTCTAACCATGTTCTGTTACTAGCTGCTACTAGTTTTTGTGTGTGAGATGAAGATCCTGTTTGTTCCTCCAGGGGGCGCTCCTCCACTGTTGATTATTGACATGATCTCCAATAATGAGCTTGTTTTCTGGCATGTACTGTGTTGTAGAACCTGAAGCAGCTGCGGCTGGAGCTCCAGATGCTGGGTGTGGAGCTGCAGTCTGGAGAACGAGCGTGCTGTCGTAACACTGACGGAGAGAAGCTGCGCATCGCTCTCTCCTCCGCCGACGGCAGACTCGACAAACAGGTAGCTACGCCTCAATACAGCCAAACCTTACGCTCTGTCTTAGCTGGGATTTTCAGCGCACACACATTAGTTTTACACCATGGTCTGTCTGAATACTCGATCCTGATTGGCTGGCAGTTCTGCATTAAAACCGATTAATGCACAGGTAGCTCCAGTTCAGTTTAATCACCGTTCAATGTTAATGCGCTGCTTTTACACACATCACTCACGCAGCGCTGCCATGTGACTTTTAATAAAAAATAGCTTTGATACTAAATCACTACAGTAACTAAACTCAGCTTCATTGTTTGTAGAGAGACGCAGGTAATTCACACACAACTGTCTCGCAACATACCTCGATTATAATATAAACTCAAATAAATGCTATAATTCATATAAATGTGATCTCACCGCATTATTTCATCTCTGTGTCTGATTTGAGAGCTAACAAGCCGTAACTGACGAAAACAACTCTTTCGGTCACATGTTTCACTGTAAACATCATCAATGCTGACAAATGACCATGGTATAAGCGGAATAATCCACGGTTAGCTGTGCATTAAATGATTTTAATGCACTCCACGTTGTGCATTAAAATCGTTTAATGCACAGCTAGCCGTGAATTCTCCCTTGCGTAATAAAAAGGAAAGTAAGTTTATTTTAGATATTACTGATGTTCAACAATGTCTAGCTGGATGAACAACTAACTCTTCCTCTGTTTCTTCCTGTATTCTCTCTTTAACTCCTTCCACACTGATTCAGACCGAATACTAACATGAGAATGATGCACAAGATTCACATGCATCCTTTCCTCTGAACTGCTTGCGCTGATTCGGTTTACTAACAGGCTGTTTGTTGTAATCTTCTTGATGTTCCTGAGCTGGTTTCCTCATCTAATCGGTTAATTTACTTCTCATGAAATCACACCGTGTGGTTTGGCCTCTCCTCTCGTGTTCTGTGTTTGCAGGATCAGATGCTGGTGGAGCTGCACAGCAGTCTGCAGCTGGTCAAAGCAGATCTGCGCAGGAAAGACGAGCTGCTGGTGCGCTCACAGAGCAAACAGCCTGCTCCAGCGTCTGGCTCCTGCAAGAAGAGAGGCTGCGGGCTGGAGAACCAGCCTCCGGAGAAGCGGCCCTTCTTCCACACGTTACACTCACGCCAGCCGTCGCCTCCGTCCACTCCCATCCAGCGCCGATTCAAATATTAGCAGCGGACGCACAGCTCTTATAGCTCTGTCTTTAATATAATCAGGTGGCCGTTTGATGTGCAAATGGGCCTTATTTTGATGGGAGTTTTTAAATTGTGTTCAAGGGTTTCTATTGTGAAACTCATTTGAAGAGCAAAGACTATTACATGTTTTATTCTCCCTACATGCTGTTTTAAAAAAAATCTGGGAGTTTTTAAATTGTGTTCAAGGGTTTCTATTGTGAAACTCATTTGAAGAGCAAAGACTATTATTACATGTTTTATTCTCCCTACATGCTGTTTTAAAAAAAAATTTTTTTTGTATGTTATGCAAACCAAATCAAAACGTAGAAGCAAGATAGAAGCATTGATTCCAAATAGTGACCAACATTCCATTGGTCTTCCAAATATGTAAAGCTGAACAGAACTAATTCATCAAACTCTTTCATGGTTGCTGCTTTAACGGTTTAAAAAGGTTTGAGAATGAGTGTTATCGTCACCAAATACGCATGCACGTCTTTGGCGTGTTTGTAAGTGGCCAAATTTAGATTTTAGCACTACATTCTTGCTTTGGCTCCTCTTTTGCACATTTTGCATGCCTTTGGGAAGGTTGCTGTGGTTCGAGATGTTCGTGTGTCGCTTTCGGCTGTCTTTCTATTGTATAATACGGGTGCGTTTTGTAATAAAACACTCCACTGTCAAGTGTTTAATCAGTTTATTTGCTATAACAGGCACCGTTGTCTGTACAAACAGTTATGTCAGGGTGTGACGGAGGACAGGTGGAGTGGAGACGCTCTCCTGACGGGTGTGGTGGTGTTGATCAGCGGGTTGAAGACGCAGGGTAAAGACAGGTCTGTGGATGAAGGCTCTCCTTGCTCTCGCACCGCAGAGATCTGCCTCAACAAAGCCTTGCCTTCCTCTCGCGCCTGAAAACCAATCATTACAAACCAGTTACACCACTAATTATTACACTTGCCTCTTTGTTCCATGGTGCAGAAATTCTATCAAAGAGGAAATAAATAGGCATTTATTAAACTAAATGATTTTTCTCCAAATATGGCTGTAGGTAGTCTTTGCTGTAGTTTACAGATTCTAATGTTGCTTCTGATCCACCACTTAAACTAGAGACCAATTCAAATCTAAACACACACAAGTCATCTGTTCTGCCTTTCAGCTAACTGTCGAAGATATGCTAACATGTTAAAACACGTTACCATGCTACCAACTTCTTAAAACATCCCAGCAACTCCTAGAAACATTCTACCAGTTTATATAAAAATGTTAACGCCTGTTAATAACATAACAACATACTATCAACTTAAAAAAAAAAAAAAACATGCTACACAACCTAAAATATGCTAATATTATCTAACAAAGATATACCAGCGACTGTTACAAAAAGGTTAAAATATGCTAACATTTGTTATTATATGTTATTATACTCGTACTGTATAATAACGCATACATAACGCAACCCGGAAAACTATCGGCATGGATTTTTGCCGATAACTGCTAGTTCCGCCAATCAACTATCGGTGCCGATTAATCTGCAAAACCAATGATTCGGTCGACCTCTAGTAAAAAGACCATTTTAAGAACTCGCCAGATCTATACGAATCACTCACATGACCAATTTTGGATTCAAAATGAAATTTTTTCCCGGAAGGTGACAAGTTTGCATCCCTGAGTTCGAGTGGGCTGATGAAGAGAAACTCACGTCGTTATAATCGCAGCAGCGCTGAGCGCAGAGAGACGCCTCGTCGTACAGCTTGTTCTTGAAGTAGTACTGACCCAGATACCTGAGAGCCGTGCTGACCTCAGCGTGCTCCAGCTGCTCCTGAGACACACACACACACACACAGAGACACACGTCTATAAAACTGCTATAATAAAAAATTCAGTTGTGTTAAATTTCAAATGCTCAATATTCAAGTTTTAAAAAAATCAAATTAAATGCCACATAATATTCCGTTTTGATAAATGCCACTTGTCAATAATTCAAAATTATACAATACAAATTCAAATAGGTTTGTCATATAAACTCCATTACCTTGCTTCTGTACATTTTTCCCGTTATGTACAAGTCAGAGATTTTGTTAGAAAACATTCCAGACTTTGAGGTTTTGAGTTTGAATCCTATTTTAGGGACAATTGTTAATGTACACCCCGGAGTGAGTGGTAATGTATCAGACTTTTATAAGTTACTATTAGAAAAAGTGGAGAACAGTACAGAGAAAATAAAACATGACTGGGAAGAAGACATGGGTTATAACAATAGGCGGGATGAATGCTTGAGAAATGTACATGTTCTGTGAATGTAAGGCATCATCTGATTCAGTTTAAGGTCCTTCACAGACTTCACTATAGCAGATCAAGACTTCAGAAAATTGTAATAAGTGTAAAAATGTCAGTAGGCACCCGGTTTCATTCTTTATGATCATGTACTAAAATCCAGCCATTCTGGCAATGAACATTTACATTTCTTTCTTGTTCGTTTATCCATCTCTTTATTGAATGATTACTTCAAATTAATATAGTTATGAGAGTAAATATGATTTCGGAGGGATTTGACATAGCTAACTTAAGAGAGCAATGTTCAGTGAGAGGTTTTTGTTTAAACCTACACTTCAGTGGCAAGAAATTAATGTACTGATATCCTACTTTAAGTCAAGTATTTTTTTTATATCTGAGAATAAATGTCATATTTTATAACACATACATTGTGTTGCAGTCATTTTTATTTGGTGCTGAAGAAATGTTAAATCTGGGTACCCCATAATGGAGAGATTTCATTTTATTTAATCTTACATATGATAGTTGATGTGCTCAGATCATTTTTATTAATTAAACAATAGATAAAGACAAGATATGGTTTGTATAATACTGATTAGGCGTCCATACACATCATATCGGAGTAAAGATGTTAGGAAAACGTTACAGTGTTAAGGGAATGTTATAATGATGTTATACAAACCAAAAACTACCGTTCTATTTCCATTAAGAAACTTTCCTGGCGAACAAAAAACAAGCCTTAACAAAATAACGTTCTGGGAACCAAAAAACTAAGGTTCTGGGAATGTTACGAAAACTTTCCTGGCTAACCAAAAACATTCTGGGAACCAAACACTGTTAGCTGGGAAATAAGCCTTCCTACAGAACATTCACTAGAATAATAATAATAAGGCACATTGCTGTACATACATAACATACATAAGCCTTGCTGTGTGAGAGATTTATGAACTGAAATCCAGTAACTTACACCACATGAGAAAATGTCCTGGATGTAGATGATGTAGCATTGTGCAGCGTCATCAGATTCATTCAGCTGCTCGTGAAGCCTGAAAACACACACACACACACACGGTTTCACTGAAAGCATCATCAGCGCTCACACAACACACTCCTGAGGAAAACACACTCACTTGGCCAGCTTCAGAAGAGCCATTCTCTCCACATCTCCGACCGAATACGCCCTCCAGTAACACTGAACCGTCAGAGCAGAGTGTTAGCAGCATTACTACACACACACACACACACACACTCACAATCTGCAGGAAAATCAAGAGCCGCCTCTTTACCTTCTTGGCCTCCACTTGCTGAGACAGCTTCTCGTAACATTCCCCGAGAGCGACGAGCATGCGCGAGTCATTAGGCCTGAAACCAACACAAACACAGAGCGTGAGTCAGCAGATGCTGAGGAACACACACTGAATGATGCTGGAGACGTCTTCACCTCAGATGATGAGCTTTCCTGTAGTAGTAGAGCGAGTAGAAGGGCATCTTGAGGATCTCGTAGGTCTGTCCGAGTCCGTACCAGGCCCGGTAGTCCCGTTTGTTCACTTCAATTGCATGTCTAAGAGACAAGAACAAAAAAAAAAAGTATTACATTTATATTGATTTATTTCAATGTATTTATTAATTATTTAATTCATATATATATATATATATACACACACACACACACACACATATAGTTAGGATAGGACAATATTTGGTGATACAAATTTGAAAGAAAAAAAAAATTGTATCTAATTGTTGAGATACAACTATTTGAAAATCTGGAATCTGAGGGTGCAAAAAAAATCTAAATATTGAGAAAATCATCTTTAAAGTTGTTCAAATGAAGTTCTTAGCAATGCATATTACTAATCAAACATTAAGTTTTGATATATTTACGGTAGGAAATTGACAAAATATCTTCATGGAACATGATCTTTACTTAATATCCTAATGATTTTTGGCATAAAAGAAAAATGTATAATTTTGACCCATACAATGTATTGTTGGCTATTGCTACAAATATACCCCAGCGACTTAACACTGCTTTTGTGCTGCAGGGTCACATATACTGTATATATATACCATTCAAAGATTTGGGTGGGTACATTTTTAACATTTTTTAAGATTTGTAGTCTTTTATGCATTTATGTAACAAATGTAATATTATAACCTAAAATAATGATTCGCAGCTGTATTTTCAGCATCATTACTCCAGTCTTCAGTGTCACATGATCTTCAGAAATCATTCTAATATGCTGATTTGCTGCTCAAGAAACATTTCTGATTATTATCAATGTTGAAAACAGTTGTGCTGCACAATATTTTTGTGGAAACTGTGATGCATTTTATTTTCCAGGATTCACAGATGAATAGAACGTTCAGAAGAACAGCATTTATTTGAATTTTATCTAACAATGTAAAGGTCTTCACTGTCACTTTTGGTCAATTTAATGCATCCCTGATGAATAGAAGTATTAATCTGCTTCCAAAAAAAAAAAAAACGTACTGACCCCAAACTTTTGAACGATAGTTTGTATGTATATACACAGTTTTATGCAAAAGTTTGGGCACCCCTATGAGGCTGCAGAATAATTTGCTCTCATAGTGACATGCCATTCAGTTTCTAGAGAAAGATGAATAATGTGATGTTTTTAGGACAAAAAGTCTTTAAGTACTTAAAGTTAAAACAGAATGTGATAAATAGGCTGTGCAAAAGTTTAGACACCTTTACAATGTGTTGATTGGAATACCTGTAGGCCTGGATGGCAGCGGAGGTGTTCTTCATCTCCATGTACTCGTGACCCATGAGGGTCCAGGCCCCCAGACAGCGTGGATTCAGCTTCAGAGCCCGCTGGAAATACAGAGCGGCCTTCTCGTGCTGAGACCGCAGACTGTAGTAGTTACCTGTGAGCGGACAACAAAACACACGCTGTTCAGAAGACACTCAGTGATTCCAAAGATACTTTATTTTAGACTATTTCCTCAACAAGCTGGATTTTCTAGGTTTTTTTTCTCACATCCCTGTTTCAGAAGACACTCAGTGATTCCAAAGATACTTTATTTTAGACTATTTCCTCAACAAGCTGGATTTTCTAGGTTTTTTTCTCACATCCCTGTTCAAGAAATCAATTAGTGTAGTTTTTAAAATATATTTAAACTTCTTATTCTAACATAAAAGGTCTTTAAAGGTGTGTTTTGGGCCATTATGCTTTGGCACAGTATCTGTCAAATGAAGTAAAACTGAAAAAATTAAACATCTGCTAACTTCCATCATGGAGAAATTATATTCAATAACATGCTCTGAACAACCACTTTACACTCCTGCTGAACCCTCTGAGCCTCTTTAGTCAGAACTGAACAAAAAAATATTATAGCTATGTAAACACACAGACACACAACATGGACACGATTCAGAAATGTTAAAGGGTCGGGAAAAAAAGTAACACTTGGTACCTTCAGTCATACTCTGCAAAAAATTATTTTCTTCCTTAGTATTTTTGTCTTGCTTTCTAGTATTAATATCTAAAAATTCTTGAATCAGGATGCATTTACAAGCAAAATTATCTGCCAATGCGGTAAGAAAAATAATCTTAATCCAAAGGCTATACAAGATTGCTTTTCTTGGCCCACTGGCAGATATTTCTGCTTGTTTTAAGCAAAAATGAACACAATTTGGATCATTTTTTCAGAAAACAAGTCATTTTACTTGTCAAGTAAATGCATCCTGATTCAAGAATTTTTAGATATTAATACTAGAAAACAAGACAAAAATACTAAGGAAGAAAATCATTTTTTGCAGCGTAAATGACCGTTGAAAAAAAAAAAAGCTAATAAACCGTCGTACCATAAAATCCCCTCAAAATTCCAAATAATAATCAAAAAATATTATTGAACAAAAATACATTACATTGATTTTCTTGAAAAAAAAAGAAGGTACCAAGTGTGATGCAAAGAAGGCCCAGCGGTGAACCACAGTTCATTTAGAGCTCGCGTTTAAACTGGTGTCTCATCCTCACCGATGACGCAGCACGTCTCCACTCGGTACTTATCGATCTCCACCAGATTGTGTGCCAGGTAACTGAGCTCCGGCTTCATGCTCTGACAACAGACAAACACAGGATCTGAACAAACAGAGCACTACCGGACTTCAGCACTGTGTTATATTTCTGTTTAATGTAATATATCATCAGATAATCTCTCATTATTGTACTTGAAAACTTGAATATCTGACCCAGAAACAGTTTTAAGATCTCAGTCTGATCCTCCTTTGTCTTTTTAGTTAGTCTCTGAGAACAGGACACACACACAAGCTTCTATATCTGCCATATTTGATGTGCTCTATGTATGTGTGTAGATCATCGCAGATTTAAATAAAAGCCTAAAATATATCTGCTCGTCACATGAAGTGATCGTGTCTCTTCAGAAGACTTGGATTAAATCACTCGATTCATATGGATTGGTTTCATAATGCCTTAATTACCTTTTTGGACCTTCTAAGTTTTGGTTCCTTGGACTTTTTAAAATATCTAGTGTTTCAAAGATTATCCAAGGTCTAAAGGGTTTGAAACGACATGAAGGGTAGAAATGATGACTGTTTTGCTTAGTATTGTGCCTAACTGCTTAAGAAAAGTACATTTCTGATCATGCACCGAGGAAGAAGGACCAGATCTTGCATGAGTTTTTATAGTTGCGATTAAAAAGTAGTGAGCTTTTCTTTCATATACATCTGTAACGGATTATTGCAAAAGACAAGAAAGAAAACAAAAGGTGAGGTGGCTGTGGATTGGATTTTTAAATGAAGTTCATTATAAGAAAGGGCTGGGTTTAAAAGCACAGTAAACGATTGGAGAAGTCCAGCATACGGCATCAGAAAAAATAGATATTTTTACTGAAAGATCTGAAAGAGTTATAGCATTGATTAAAGTCATTTAAAAAAAGACATGCATAGTAAGATATATAGCATGCATTCAGAAAGCATCAGCAGCTCACCCGCACATAAAGCAGGTTGGAGAAGGTGTCCATGTTCTCGATGCGGAAAGGATCCTGTTCCCGGAGTTCATTGAACAGATATAAGGCTTGATCAATATCTGGAGAAAGAATGAAGCAGATCATAAAAAAGCAGTCTTAAGTCGCTGGGGTATATTTGTAGCAATAGCCAACAATACATTGTATGGGTCAAAATTATATATTTTTCTTTTATGCCAAAAATCATTAGGATATTAAGTAAAGATCATGTTCCATGAAGATATTTTGTACATTTCCTACCGTAAATATATCAAAACTTAATGTTTGATTAGTAATATGCATTGCTAAGAACTTCATTTGGACAACTTTAAAGATGATTTTCTCAATATTTAGATTTTTTTTGCACCCTCAGATTCCAGATTTTCAAATATTGTCCTATCCTAACAAACCATACATCAATGGAAAGCTTATTTATTCAGCTTTCAGATGATGTATTAATCTCAATTTCAAAAAATTGACCCTTATGACTGGTTTTGTGCTCCAGGGTCACATATTATTAATATAAAAAAAAAAACATCAAACAAAATAAGAAAATATCACTACTGTAATAACACTGTTTCACTATAATATACAAAACAGAGTATTTAAGAATAAATTTAGTAATTATTATATCACTGTATTTGACAGAAAACTACAGGGTGACCTGTTAAATATGAGGGAGCCATAACTATCAATCTCCAAAATCTGTGACCTAGGCTACTTGTATGCGCTGCTGATTTCAGAGCAAAATGCAAAACTGTGACTTCATTCACTGATGCGCTTCACTCGGAAACACTAAAACTGACTGATTTTTGGTTTGAAAATTCATATGATGAATTTGTTCTGACACAGTTTAACTCTGAGTTCTTTTCATATTTTGTTACCAAATGGGCGAAACCTAGGATAGTGGCACATTTACAAAATATAAAATTACAAATTATTATTTGGGGTGAAAGTAATTAGTTTTTTAATATGTCATAAATTGATTTTTGATGTAAATATGCCTGACACGATTGTTAAACTGAATGACATTTTAGTGGCTCTCTTCTGTAAATCAGGGGAAAATATATATTTATTTTTTGCTCAGAAAAACAAAAACACAATAATGAAACAGAAAATTTAAAAAAACAATTTTTTTTTTTGAAAAACAACCATTTAAAGCAGTATTGTTTTTATGCTTAAACCCTTTTTCGTCTTTGACCTATACATTTTTTCAAAAGTAAAAAAGAAATAAAAGCAAAAATTATTGTGTACTATAAGATAATTGTATTTTTATTTAATACAAATTTTTTATTTTAAAATCAAATAGTATTCTCAGACACACACACACACATATATATATTATTTTGATTATTTTATTTTAAAAATAAACAATAAAGTGCACCAATACTATCATTAATTATTGCATTGTTTATAGTTATATATTATGGGTCACAGTAAAAATCAAATCTTCAGGTGCTCTCATGAGAACCAGACTGAAAAACTGATGTGCATCCCTCACAACATTTTCCAGAAGAACCTACAACCTGTGGTTCTCAAATGTTCTCTGCTCTGTACTCAATCTGCAAACCAATCAGGACACAGACCTGCACTCCGTTTCTGGGCAATCCCGGGCGTCCTCCTGGAAGAAAGCAGCGGCGGTCAGTGCACACATCTCCTCCGGCTTACATCTGCTAAACACATGCGTCTCATACGCATTTCACTGAGAGCGAGGGGCTTCAGGACTCCAGACTGACCTCGGTGAGCTCCGGCGCTGGAGGGATCTCGTTCAGAGGAAGCGCATCCAAAGAAAAAGCCAGTTCTGATGCCCTGAAACACAAACAACGGTTTTATTGTTGTTTTTTACACCCTGCAGAACAATTATAAACCTCTATTCATTTGCATACACTACCAGGCAATAGTTTTTGAACCATTAGATTTTTTATGTGTTTTAAAGAAGTCTCTTCTGCTCACCAAGCCTGTATTTATTAAATCAGAAATACAACAAAAGCAGTAATATTGTGAAATATTTTTACTATTTAGAATATCTATTTTCTATGTGAATATCTGTTAAACAGATAATGTATTTCTGTGATGCGCAGCTGTATTTTCAGCATCATTACTCCAGTCTTCAGTGTCACATGATCTTCAGAAATCAGTATAATATGCTGATTTGCTGCTCAAGAAACATTTCTGATTATTATTATTATGTTGAACACAGCTGAGTAGAATGTTTTCAGGTTTCTTTGATGAATGGAAAGTTCAGAAGAACGGCATTTATCTGAAATAGAAATCTTTTGTAACATTATAAATGTCTTTACTGTCACTT